TTTAAATCATAAATAATATGTTTTCAGAAAATATTTTTTTGCATATTCTACATAATTTGTGGTATAGCGCATAATATGTGCATATTTTAGGCTAAAAATCTACATAATTTGCTTAATTTACAATTTATCGCATGCATAATTTGGCCATCCTCGCAACATAATCCTGGACACCCTACCCTAGATCGCCACCAAATTTTCAAAATTTTCACCTGCACGTGATTTTAAACCAATAACATTTCAAGATCAGGTGTAACGTTACATGATCAGGAAAATCAAAACAAACATTCGCTTTGTCAAAAATCGCTTGTAATTCAAAATGTAGTATAAGAAACTACCTTTAGTGCTTTAACAAAAAGTTTTCTTTAAGCAATTTTACCTATAGCTCTCTCTAACCCTAACCCAAACCCTAACCCTAACCCTAACCTAAACAAACTTAAAGAATTTTTCAGTGTATTACACATAATCACGTGCCAGTGAAAATGTTGGTGGCGATCTAGGGGAAGATGTCCCTAAGCACTGTCCGTAGACTTTTCGCTACCCCAGGACCCCGAACAATACTAACGGAGGTCATATTTGAAAAATAGCTAACAGAGGTCAAAATTTTGCAAATTTAAGTAGGGTTGCATCGGTCCTGAAAAAAACCGGTCTGGACCGGTTCTGGACTGGGACCGATAAGGACCATGGACCGGTCCTTGTAAACATAAATGTGAACTTCGTATCACCCAATCAAATTTCTTGATCAGGTGTAACGTAGATCATATGATGTTTGTTACATCCGACAATCTGTAATTACGTCATTTTCGACCAATAATATCTTATGCATTTAGAGATGACGTAATTATAGAAGGACTGTTTTGGGACCAAGACTGGACCAGACCAGACCGTAAATCACTATTTAATCGGTCCATTAGGGACCGGGACGGACTGGACCGGACCAATGCATCCCTAAATTTAAGCAATTTGATTGGCTAAAAAAATTCATATCCAATCAAATTGCAGAAAAACCGCTAATGGCTTCGGCCACCAAAATGTTACAGTCACATGAAGATTTTTGTGGCGCAAACAAATCAGATTTCAAGATCAGGTGTAACGTTACACGATCAGAAAAATTACAAACGTTCGCTTTGTCAAAAATCGCTTGTTTCTCAAAAACTAGCATATGAAACTACCTTTAACGCTCTAACAAAAAGTTTTCCTTGAGCGATTTTACTAATAACGCTCCTCTAACCCTAACCTTAGTACAGACCCTAACCCTAATCTAAACGAACTTAAAGAATTTTCGATAGTCACGTGACTGTAACATTTTGGTGGCGATACTGGGGAAGATGCTTTAAGGACCCCTAAAATAGGAAAAAATATAGCGAACTATCCCTCCACATTTAATGTGATCGTAATGGTAAATAGCAATATTCAGATATCGTTTTTTCAGGTAACACCTATTTGATGCGCACTTAGGACACTGAATTTATTAAAGCATTTTATCTTTTCATAGGTGTATTAAAAAAAATTACATGCAAATGCTAAATCTACAGTCACCCATTTTTTTTACAAAAAAATTAACAGACATAAAAAAATTAAAAAGAGTGAATATACAAAATATAAATGATTTTGAAGAATTGTAATTTGAAAGAGTTAAAATTGTCAAACTCAAGTAGTTCAATTACATGGAACTTTAGTAAAATTACGATGCAGCATTTGCACAAATATTTATTCTTTTACACCAAAATATAGTAATATTTTAAAGCAAGGTGAAGCGCAAATTGTCCCGGCATTTAATATACACCAGTTTTAGTCTTTTTTAGGACCCGTTCACGAACAGATTGAATAAACACGTTCCAACGGTTTTCCAGTGATTTGTTCAGATCTACAAGCGACTCTTCATTGTTTCCTAGTAAGTAATGAGTAACTCCACGAATTCCATAAGTAATTTCTCTGTCTGGATCAATTTCTAATGATTTATTTAAATCTGCAAGTGATTCTTCAAGTTTACCCATCTCTTGATAAATAAATCCACGATTTGATAACCCTGTTGCATTGTTTGGACTAATTTTTAGTAATTTGTTCAAATCCACAAGCGCATCCTCGTACTTTTTCATGGTTAGAAATGTAACCGCACGGTTAGACAACGCGATTTTGTGATTTGGATTAATTTCTAATGATTTATTTAAATGTTCAAGTGACTCGTTATATTTTCCCATCTTGATATAAATAGATCCGCGAGAAGAAAGAGTGTCACTATCATTTGGAAATATTTCTAGGAATTTAGCTAAATCTACAAGTGCATCTTCATATCTACCCATAGCTTCATAAGTATAAGCTCGGGTTTCTAACGCCCAAGCGCTATTAGGCATAATTTTCAATGAATTATTCAAATCAGCAAGAGATTCTTCATATCTTCCCATAAGTAGATAAGTATGCCCACGATTTATAAGTGCAAGTAGATTATTTGGTAATATTTCTAATGACTTTGTCAAATCAATAAGAGATTTTTCGTATATACCAGTTATTCGATAAGTAGTTCCACGGGATAACAACGCAAATGCAACTTCAGCTGCATGTAAACTATCTTCAAACGATTCTTCATATTTTCCAATCGAATCACAATCGAATACCAACGCAGAACTGGACTGATCGTATAAATCCTTTGCTCTTTTCATTCCCTCGTTTATCAATAAAATCGGTTCATCCTTCTTTATATTTTGTAAGTTTTTTACAGCAAAAAGGCCATGGAACTCCGATTCCAATGAAGCAGTTATATTTTCTAATGATTTTTTATATTCAACTATATCATTATAAGTCTCTTCACGAGCTTTCAAGATTGCTGCACTGTTAGGATTGATATCTAATGCTTTATCCAAATCTTGAAGTGATTCTTTGCATTTACCTATTATTCGATAAACATTTCCACGAAGCTCTAGCGCATTTACATTATTTGGATCGATTTCTAATGCTTTTTCTAAATCTTTGAGTGATTCCTCATATTGACCTAACTTTCGATTAATGTCTCCACGAAGTCTAAAAGCATCTGTATTGTCTGGATCAATTTGCAGTAAATAATTACACTCTGAAAATGATTCTTTGTAATGGCCAAACATCAGATGAGTATCTCCACGAATTAAAATCAGAGATTTTGCCCCTATATTTAATGAATTTTAGTAAAACCATACACATTATTATGCTAAATTGAAATTTAAACAGTAGTACCATGTTTGAACTCTAAGTTATTATACTCAAGGGAGAAGTCTATTAGTTAGATAAACATTGTGTTTTTAGTTTTTGTAAAGATAGTATAAATAATAATTAAATTTACCATTATTATGGTTCATGGTCTCTGAATAGTTTGTTGATATATCAGAAATTACTGTTTTTTTTTTAAAAAAAAAACCATTGATTATTAATAAAGTACTAAATAGGATTTTACTAATTTATCCATAACTTGGTGGTACTTCTAATAATAAGAGTGAGATAAAAAATACTTTAAAGATGTATGTTTACCATCACAGCTGATAATTGGGCTTAAATCATCTTCACTCGCCATCATCAGCGAATCATTGCTTGACATGTTTAAACCTGATAAAATATTTTTAGAATAATCTTCATTAATGATAAATTAAACACGTAAAAATGCAATCCTTTATCTGTTTTTCTCTTTAAAATTTAGCGGATATCGATATCCGGATATCCGAATACTGTTTGTTGCAAAATTTAAACTTGCCATTATGACTTGCGGATTCTGTTTGGATAAAAGCATTTAATGCATTCACTATACATATATATTTTTTTAAAAAAAAATTAAATAATGCAATCAAAGGTGGCCTATAAGAATTTAAATACTGTAGTTTACCGTCTCGATTGATAATTGAATTCGTTAAATCGTCTTCAGTCGTTTTTAGCGTTAAAATAAACAATTCATCGCTTTTTTGCACATAATCTACAAACAAATCTTCAAGAATTTCACTTTTACGATTATCAATTGAATTAACATTAGAAGGAAGACATATAGTTTCTGAATATGGTATTATATATTCTCCACTACAGATTTCATAATACTTCATATTGAAGTGATTAAACAATTCTTGTGCCTTTGGTCGACGTGAAGGATCACTATCCCAGCATCTTTTCATTAAATTCTCATAATCAGACGGTACACCAGAAAGGTTTGGAGGACGAAGACCCTTGAATATTTCGTTAGCGAAATGAGCATCATATTCGCGATTATTATATGGACTGCACTTCGTTAGAAGCTGCCACATGATGATTCCCATACTATATATATCAGATTCAGGGCTGTATTTTTTATTAAATAGTACTTCTGGTGCAACGTATGGCATGATCCCATATATTTGATCTGCTGGATCTTTATTTGCAGGGCCACAAGTTCCTAAATCGCTAATAAACCATCCTTGTTCATTAGACAAAATGTTTCCGGGGTGAATATCTTTATGCAACATATTATGGGAATGAATTATATATATGTCATTAAATATCTGTTTAAGTAGTAAATATTTTTCTTTCCAACCAAATTTATTGTCTTCGCATGACAAAAATGCATTAAGATCACCGTTCTTCATATATTCCAAAATTAATCTATATTCTGATTCTTCTTTTGTTAATCCATAACATTTAACCCCACAGGATCTTTTAGTGGAAAATATAGTATGTGATATTGCCTGTTAAATTGCGTAAATATAAAATTAGATGAATTAATAAAAACAATTTCGATTTTTTTCTTTTATACTAGTATATAGATAGAAATTGCATATATATTCCGTAAAGGGATAGCAAACCTAGCATCGCCCATAAAAAATTACAGCTGACATCACTTGTAAATATAATATATATTATAGGTGAATTTACAAATAAGGGCCTGAAAAATGAAAATAATTACGGATAAGAGCCCAAATTAAAAATAATTACATATAAGGGTCTGATTTTTGAAAAATATTACATATAGGGGCCTAAAATATAAGCGCAACACACGAAACTTATTCAAGTCTGTGGCTTGATCGTCATTAATAAGTTTACATTATCAGGCGCATAAGAAATGTAATCAT